CTGTCACAACATATTAAAATCACTATTTCTGCTTAATCCTATGATGCACTATGGCAGTGTTGGGGGGGGGGAGCCAGACTGGGGCAGAAAATCAGCACAAAAAATCTATACCCAAATACTTTCAATCTTATCAAAATAATAGAAGTAGTTTCTAAAGTATTGACAGCCATATATATATAGGTATCAATGCCAGCTTTTCCAAACAGATTGCTTGGAAAGCGAGCATGATCTTGTGTGTTGTACTACAGCTCTGGAGAACAGGCTTCAAATCCCCCTTCAGCCATGGAAACACACTGGGTGACTTTAGGCAAGTCACACTCACTTAGCTTCTGAGGAAGGTAATGAAAAAACCCCTCTGAACAAATTTTGCCAAGAAAACCCCACAATAGGTTCACCTTTGGGTCACCATGAGTAAAAAATGACTTGAAGGCACACAACATCAACAAACTCTAGTACAGTAACAACATCTTAGTCTTGTTAAGTTTCCATCAAATGATTAGTGGGTAACAAAAGAAAACACTGGCCCTGTGGCACACTGAAAATGTCAACAGATTCAGGTTGTTTTGGACTAATGGCAAAATGGAACTCCTGGGCTCTGCCAGTGGTCCTACTCTATAATATCATTTTGCTTTGTCAAAACACTAGCACCAATATTTGCTGATACCATCTATCAAAGTGACAGGAAGAGAAACATTCTTTTCCAATAGCTTATGAAGGACTTTGTGGCTCAGACTTATTTTAAGCAAAATGAGTATACAGTTTAAACAGTAGTATTAACCTGTTTTAGAGCTGGAAGTCACCTTTAACTTCCTACAGATAAAATTGTAAAAAATTAGTTTTATTTATTGTACCATTTTTGTCTTCTCTCTCTCTCTCTTTTTAAAGCAATACTCATTACTGTTGTATTTATAAGTTGTATTTCTGTCTTTCCTTGACAACTGTGGCCCTTTTGCTCACTAACCTGCTACTCGCATTAATGTTAGCTAAACAGTTTGTTGAGAATATCAGAAAAAACTATGATGGATCAGACTGAAAGCACAACTAGTTGAGTTTCTGTTCACACAGTAGCCAACCAGCTACCTATGGAAAGTATGCCAATGAGACATGAGTGCAACGTCTATCTTTAATATGGAGGTGAGACATGGTCATTCTGACTAGCAACCATTGATGGCTTTAACCTCCATTAATTTATCTTATCCCATTTTAACCATATGCTGCATGAGGAAAGACATCCTTATATCTGTCCCACCATTCATCTTTAATGGGTGACTCCATTGGATTCTACTAATATGAGAGAGGGTGAAAATCTTCTTTCTATCTAGTTTTCTCTGTTCACACTGTAAATGTCTGTATCATATCTTTATTTCGGAGAGAACATGAATAGAATTGGGCTCTGAGCAGGTGTAAGTTTAAAAAAATTAAAAAATTTCCCGACGGTTACCTCCAAGCCTCACATGGTGAAATTTACTTATAAGCTCCACAGGAGGGGACCGTCTGTTATACTAGGCAAAATGCTTTTTGTCTGCTAATTTATGGCCTTGTGAAGGTGATGGCGGTGTTTCTGGTAGTGGTATACCCCATCTTCAGGACATGTCCTAATTTTGGGTAAAGGTTAAAGGTAAAGATCTGGTAATTAAAGGTAAAGATCTGGTAAAGACTTTGTGCACTTGTTCTACATATTTACCAAATTATAGAAATCAGAAATACTTGGCTTTCATTGAAATATTCTGGAATGAAATTAGTGGTGAGAACTAAATTAGAAGTATGCCTATTTTCTAAAATAGCCATTATTATGTACCATGGATTCTTTTGACTGCTTTTTCCTTCCTTCCTTCCTTTCTTTTCCTAGAAACCTGAGCTTTTGATTTCTGTAGAGTTTCTGCATGTGGAGATGATTTCCCTTGGATAGAAAACATGAAGAACTTGAAACAATTCGAACAAGGATCTGTCTCTGTCATTCAGCTGAATCTTTGACAGAAAGGTCATTCTGTGCAATCGCTTAACTGTGTACAAAGATGATGAACTGTTACGAAAATTGAATTGAATTTTGCAATGTAAAAGATTCCGCCCAAGGAGTTACTGGAATCAACATTTGATACTGGCATCAATTTTTCACATAAACCTGTTGCCATTTTATCACAGAAGACTGCTGATTAAGTCCTGTCTTATGACTCCATCACAGTTGAAAGTTTCTCACTTTCCTTAGAGGTGCTGAACAGTGGATATAATTCCCATATCAGAAAACACGGCCTTCACATAGGTATTGAAAGGCATGTGTAAATTCTGCATAAGAAGAACAGATTAGTCTGTTAAGCCCTCCCCCCCCCCAAAATTCTGTGAAGCCAGTGTTCTATGCAAATTAAAGAACTGATGCAATTTTATTTATTTATATAATCCTAGATAAAGTATGTGTCTTAATATTACAGGGCATTCATTTGAAAAGAGTAAGAAGTATTGGGACAGTCTACTTTCAGTTTTCTGAAAATCATTTGAAGATACCTCATGCTTGTTTAATCATGGTTTAATGC